CGCCACTAATGTCATCACTGTCACTTATGTAATAGCCTCCTAACTTGTTTCTTCACATAGATTCTTACCTCCCTGAAATCGCATCTCAAAGTGAGCTGTGAGAATGAACTGTTAAAAATGTAAAACCGAAAAATCCATAGCATTCCTATACTCTAATAATGAAGTGTCAGAAAAAGTAGAAAAAATAATTCCTCTTGCAATTGCAACAAAAATAATAAAATGCCTAAAAATAAATTTAATGAAACACGTGAAGGACCTATATAATGAAAACTGTAAGACCCTATTGAAAGAATTCAAAGAAGATACAAAGAAATGGAAAGATATTCCATGTTCTTGGATCAGAAGAATCAATGTAGTTAAAATGACCATATCACCTAAAGCATTATACAGATTTAATGCAATTTCCATCAAAATTCCATTGGCCTTTTTTAAAGAAATAGAACAAAAAATTATCAGATTTGTATGGAAGCACAAAAGACTCCAAATTGCCAAAGCCATCTTGAGAAAAAAGAATGAGGCTGGAGGCATCACCCTGCCCAAGTTCAAATTATACTATAAAACAACAGTAATCAAAACAGCATGGTATTGGCAGAAAGATAGACACACAGACCAGTGGAACAGAATTGAGAGTCCGGAAGTAAACCCATATTTATATGGACAAATAATTTTTGACAAAAACACCAAAAATATAGAAAAAAAAAAAGAAAGCCTCTTCAATAAGTGATTCTGGGAAAACTGGAAAGCCATCTGCAAAAGAATAAAACTAGACTGCTGTCTATCACCATGCAATTAACTCAAACACACCAAAATTAACTCAAAATGGATTAAGGACCTGAATATAAGAACTGAAACAATAAAATGCATAGAAGAAAACATAGGAACTAAACTCAAGGACCTTGGGCTTAAAGAGGATTTATGAATTTGACCTCAAAAGCAAGGGAAATAAGAACAAAAATTAATGAATGAGACTACATCAAACTAAAAATCTTCTGCTCAGCAAAAGAAGTCAACAAGGTAAAGAGACAACCATCTGAATGAGAAAATATATTTGCAAGCAACACTTCCGATAAGGGTCTAATATCCAAAATATACAAAGAATTCATACGACTCAATAACAACAACAACAACAACAAATCACAAATGATCCAATCAAGAAATGGACAGAGGACCTGAACAGACACTTCTCCCTAGAGGACATATAAATGGTTAACAAACATATGAAAAGATGCTCAACATTGATAGCTATTAGGGAAATGAAAATCAAAACCACAATGAGATACCACCTCATACCTGTTAGAATGGCTATAATCAACAGGACAATAATAACAAATGTTGGAGAGGATGTGGAGAAATAGGAATCCTCATATGCTGCTGGTGGGACTGCAAATTGGTACAGCTACTATGGAAAGCAGTATGAAGGTCCCTCTAAAAACTAAGAATTGATCTACCACATGATCAGCAATTCCTCTACTAGATATTTACCCCAAAAACTTGAATACTCATATCCGAAAAGATATTTGCACACCGATGTTCATAGCAGCATTATTCACTGTGGTCAGGACATGGAAGCAACTGAAATGTTCTACGATAGATGATGATTGGCTAAAGCGGCTGTGGTACATATATTCAATGGAATATTTCTCAGCCATAAGAAGAGATGAAATACTACCATTTGCAACAACATGGATGGACCTCGAGAAAATCATGCTAAGTGAAATAAGCCAGACAGAAAAAGTTGAAAATCACCTGATATCACTTATATGTGGGATATAAACCTATAAGCAAGAAACGAACAGGACAAACAAACAGATTCATGGATACACACAATAGACTAGTGGTTACCCGAGGGTAGGGTTAAAGGGTAAGGGGGGAGGTAGATGGAGTAAAAGGGGTCAAATACGTGGAGACAGAAATCTAACTATAGGCAGTGAACATACAATGGAACATATATATGCCTTACCATTAAAATGTACAGCCGAAACTTACTGAATTTCATTAAGCAATGTCATCATAATAAATTAAAAATAAATAAATAAGCAAAGACATTTTGGAAAAAAAAAGGTATAACTAACACTCTTAGCTTGGGTTGTGACCTCTAGTTCCCAGACACGACTATTTTTTACATAAATGGAATCTCTCTTTGTGTATTCTCTCGTCTGTATATGTCTGTGTGTACAACTTGCTTTTCTAACAAAATATCTTGAACAGCTTTCTATGTTAACACATTTTGTTTTACTTAATGGCATCACGTTCCATAAAATGTGTAGACCATAAATTATTTACCGTTTTTTTATTGATGCCCATTTAGGCTGTAAATATCATTCCTGTGCTTGTGTTTCTGTAAGACAGAATTCTATAATTTTAATTTCTATTTTAAGGGATAATTATGATATTATTAAATTTCCTTCCTAAAAGCTTTCATTAATTTATAGCACCACCAATGCTACATTATAATCCTTTTTTGAATATCCAAAGCCAACACTTAATAAATTTTTTACTATTTATATTATAGTTCCTTGATTACTGGTGTGACTTAACATTCTTCATGTTTGTCAACCATGAAATGCGTACTCTTATCACTTAAGCACTTTTCTGAGTTGTGTCTTTTCTTATTAATCTGTGGGAGATATACATGTATATTTCAACAGTTACAAGAATGACAATATCTTCTTTCATTTAATGGCTTGTCTCTTAATTTCATTGTTGGTGTCATATTATGTGGAAAAATTATACTTTTGTCAAATTTATGAAACTTTGCTTTACTATTTCTTGGTTTTTGTTTATGGTATCATTCCCTACTGTGAAGTCATACGATAGCCTCTTATACTTCCTTGTAACGGCTTTAAAGTTTTGCTTTTCATATTTATATTATTAATCTAATGCGAAATTTTGTATATAGATTAATATATTATTAATCTAATGTGAAATGCTTTTGTATATGACATATACATAGGAAGAAAGTCGTCTTCAGTGATCTTCAGTTTTACCACAAGATATTTTACTTAACTTGTGTAGAGCTTTCAGTGTCTGTGAAATTATGTCTTTTCTTCTGAGAGTTTACAGTCATTATTTCCTTGAACAATGATTCCCAGCATTCTCTCTATTCTCATTTTCTGGGATTCTAAGTGTATATCTCCTTTACCTCTTGTCTGCATATACACAATAATTTCTTCAGATCTCTCTTCATGTGTGTTTAACCAAATACTAATTTCAACTATTACCCATTTTAGTTTCTAGAATTTCACTTCATTTAAAATATTTTTTTCATATTTGACTGGTCATATTTGATGGTCTTTAGTACTTAAGCATTTAAAAATTGTTTTATTTCTTTAAACACAAAGACCTAAAGCTATTTCATATTCTGAAACACTTCTAATATGTTAGATCCTTGGAGATATGTGTTTGTTAATTGTTTTTGCTGACTTTTACTCTTGGTGGCTTATTTCTTCATGTATTTAGAAATTTAAATTGTGAAATAATATTTATTTGAACTCAATTTTTTGAAATTTTCAAACTCTAAATTGAGGATATTTCTCTCAAAAGCATTTGTGGTGAATTCAAATCTCTAGGTCTCATACCTGTTTACCATTCATTAGATAGGTTTTAATTATTTTTAACATTTTTGTCTTTGGAAATTTTTCTTACTTTCTCATGTGCATTGATATCTCATTGCATTAAAATTAGAAAATTTATGGCCTGGTTACTTTTTTATTGGTAGATTTTAATCACTTTTTTCAATTTCTTCAATGATTACTAGTCTGTTAAGGTTTTCTTCCTTTTATTGAGTCAATATTGGTAATTTATATATTTCTAGGAAACCATTTTACTTAAGCATACAACAAATATTTGTTAAATCAGTAATACAGGCACTGATGATTGGTACTGCAGTAAAACTAGTTTTACACCATTTGAAGGAAATAAGTGATAAGCCTGAGAGAACTGAAAGTGTATGGGGTTTAAAATCCTTGTTCTGAGATTAGGCACTGATTCTCACACTGGCCATTGATCCCTGGGGAAGAGAAGTTGCTCCTTATATGTCTGCTCTATTCCTAAAGAACCTTTTTCTTAGAATTACACACTCTTATGTCATTAGCAATTCATAGAAAATAATTATACTACAACTATATAGATGTTGCCAGCCAAACCTCAACAATCTGTATCTCACATTAGATTTAAGTAATAATTTGAAAATATTAGAAGATGGGTTGAATTCAGACTATATTCTTATGCTTGAAAAGTCAGAAGGAGCAATTTGAAGAATTGTGTGTATATTTGTATGTGTGTCGTATGTTGTGTGTTGTGTGTTATTGTTGTGGTGGTGGTGGTGTGTGTATGTTAACAGTAAAACTGTTACCTGAGCCTGTAATAAAGAACATTTTATAAAGTGCATTTTGGTTAAAAGGACTTCAGAATTTGCTCACCAGTTTAGTAATGTTTGAATTTTTACGGGGATCACATCATAATATTTATGTAGATTATTTTTTAAAAAGAACAAAGAAGTAAGATGAGTAAGACGCTGTGGACTATTTAAAGAATTCTCTTTCCAAAGACTAGGATGAGTAAAGTTGTTCTCAAATAGAATTTTTTTCAGGTTAAGCTTCAAAATTCCAGGTGGAAAAGTAGTCAGGTCATTCCCGTCAACAATCAATTTTTTAAGTGATCTGCAAATAAAGAAAACCATACTTTAAAAGATATTCATGCAATTTATAATACTGAAGTAATATTCTATCCCAATGTTTCTGAAAATTGGTATAAAATTTAGTAACCATAAAATACAAGTTCTTAAGTATTTCCTTAGAATCAAAAGAATTAACTTAAAAACCAACCGAACCAATATATTATGCAAAAAAATGCATTTGTGTAAATGGTAGAGTTAAGCATGTATTTTGGGTCTTTGCAACATGTCATTACTATAGAAAAAGAAATAATAATCACAAACATAGCAAGACATATGAATGTTATACTACATTAAATATAGTAAATGATACAAAGAATTTAATTTCATAGAGAAATTGAACATCAATACATATTTAATCAAAACAGTGAAATTAACACTATCAAAATGTATTATGTGCTACGATATACTTTGACTTTTCATCACCTGAGTCCCCTTGGTTTTATTGCGTCAATTGCTTCTAATAATTCTTTTTCCTTTTTTCAAAGAGAACCAACATTACTCATTTTCTCATTTTTTTACTACTTCTCTTGATAAAGTTTTTTACATTCACGTATCTCCTTAGTAACTAGTGCTGGAAGCAATCAGAAAAGCATCTGTTCATGAGGGAAATATAAAAATCAAATCAGAGGATTTCTGGTCCAGATGGCAGAGTAGGTAAATTCTGTGCTTGCCTCCTCTCAGGACCACCTCAAAATTACATGAAAATGTACATAACACCCATCATTGAGAATCACTTGAAGTCCAGCTGAACAGAAGTTCCACAACTAAGGACATAGAAAAGAAGCTACCTAGAGACTGGTAGGATGGGCAAAGACATGGATGAGGCTGGTCCCAAATCAACGTGTGGTGATTAAAAATCAGGAGAAATATCTTAGCTGTGGAAGTCCCCCCTGAGGAGTGAGGAGTCTCAGCCCTACACCAGGTCCCCAACCATGGTTCTTGTGCCAAAATAGAACCCCCACAAATTTGGGCTGTAAAAACCAGCAGAGATTCTGGCTAAGTGAGACGGAGAGTTGCTGGAGACCCAGGTACTCCTCTTCAAGGACCCATGTACAGATTTACTCTCTGAGGGATTTACAACCTCTGAGCTCTAGTGCTGAGGCAGAAGCTTGGGGTGGTGGTGCCAAGGGACATATGAAAAAGAAATTGTCTGACTTCAGGGCAAGGGCTGGAGGGATGAGTTTCTCCTAGCAAAAGTGCTAATAGAATCCACCATTTCTTTGCTGAGACCTCCCCTTCCCAGTGTGCACACGTAGGTGGCTGCCATATCTGCGTCTCCATCAACCTGGCTAACACAGTTCACCCTGCTGTACTTCCTTAAGACCCTGCTTCACCCAACTTGCAGGCCCATCCAAGCCACTTCCAGTGGCTTTCTATATAAATTACCTGCCTTGGTTCATGCTGCAAATATTCCTAAAATCTTCCAAAGGATCACAAAACCCAAACAAGCAACATCTAGTCTCAGCATGCCTCTTGCTGAGGAGTCCCAAACCTGGCACTAGTGGCACCCAGCCTTGGTTCATGGTTTGGCCTCTAGAGATATCTCCAAGCCTAGTGCAGGTGATGGCCATCTACGGATTGCTTGGTGGCTCATGCAGGTAGACCCAGACAGGGCACAAGGTGCAGCTGATTTTAGACTGCTATGGGGCCCTTCCCAGGAGGACTCAGAGCTGGTCTGTCCAGTGGCAAGGTTTGGACCAAGCCGGAGCACCACTCAGGGCCACATCAAAAGATGACACACACAAAGGGCAGACTGGGCAGGCACCAGAGCTCTGCTAATGTGAATTCTGATCTATAGAGTCAGCCCCAGCACAACAACTCCTCCACTGTAGTCACTGGCCAGTCCTTACAACAAATCAGCCCATGGGTTCATCCCTTCCATTTACATGCAAAAAGCAACCAAGGTTCAACTACAATAGGAAGGTACACACAATCTACACAAGGGACATACCTAGAGCACCTGGTTCAGGTGACCAAGGAGATACACCACTGGGCCCCATAGGACATCTACTACATAAGGCCACTCTACTAAGATTGGGAGACATAAAAATTCTACCTAATATATAGGAATAAACACAGGGAGGCATCCAAAATGGAGAGAGAAAGAAACATGTTCCAAATGAAAGATCAGAGCAAAGCTTCAGAAAAAGAACTAAACAAAATGGAGATAAGCAATCTACCAAATGTAGAGTTCGAAACACTGGTTATATGAATGCTCAGTGAACTTAAGGGTAGAGTGGATGAACTCAGTGATAATATTAACAAAGAGATTAAAAAAAAAAACAAAAAAGAATCAGTCAGAAATGAAGAATACAATAACTGAAGAATACTTTGGAGAGAATCAACAGCAGATTAGATGAAGCAGAAGACTGAATCAGTGATTTGGAAGATAACATAGCAGAAAACACCCAATCAGAATAGCAATAAGAAAAAGAAATTAAAAAATGAAGATAGTTTAAGGGGCCTCTGGGATAACACCTAGCACACTAACATTAGCATCACAGGAGTAACAGAAAGAGAAGAGCGAGAGCAAGAAATTGAAACCTATTTCAAGAAATTATGATGAAAAAATTCCCTAACCTGGAGAAAGAAATAGATATAGAAGCGCAGGAAGCACAGGGAGTCAAGTCCCAACCAAGATGAACTCAAAGAAGCCCACACGAAGACATATCATTAAAATGCTGAGGTTAAAGACAAAGAGAGAATCAAGAGCAGTAAGAGAAAAGCAGTTAGTTAACTACAAGGGAGCTCTCATAAGACCGTCTTCTGATTTCTCAACAGAAACTTTGCAGGCAAGGAGAGATTGGCAGGAAATATTCAAAGTGATAAAAAGCAAGGAACTACAACCAAGATTACTCTACCTAGCAAGGCTATCATTTAGAATTGAAAGACAGATGAAGAGCTTCCAAGATAAGAAAAAGATAAAAGAGTTCATTACCATGAGGAGGAGAAGGAGGAGGAGAAAGAGGAGGAGAAGGAAGAAGAGGGTATACGATAAAAAATGTGAATAATATAGTGGCAATAACTACATATCTATCAACAATTAATTTAAATACAAATGGATTAAATGCCCTAATCAAAAGACTTAGTGTGGCTGAAGAGATAAGAAAACAAGAAACACAGACTGAAAGTAAAGGGATGGAAAAAGATATTTCATGAAAATGGAAACAAACAAACAAACAAAAAAGCTGGGGTAGCAATATTTGTAACAGACAAAATAGACTTTAAAACAAAGGATATAACAGGAGACAAAGAAGGACACAGTAATCCTATTTTTGAGTATTTATCCAAAGAAACCAAAAACACTACTTTGAAGGGACGTGTGAATCTGTATGTTTACTGAAGCATTATTTACAATTGCCAAGCTACGAAGACAACTTGAGTGTCTATCAATGGATGAATGGATAAAGGAGAGGTGGTACATATATACAATGGAATATTACTCAGCTATACAAAGAATGAAATCTTGCCATCTGCAACAACATAGATGGACCGAGAAGGTATTGTGCTGAGTGGAGTAAGTTAAGACAGACAAAAATGAATATCATAGAATTTCACTTACATGTGAAATCTAAAGAACAAACAAATAAACAAAAACAGAAATAAAGTCATAGATACTGAGAACATTTTGATGGTTGCCAGATGGAAAGGGGTTGAGGGGATGAAAAAGGGGAAGATATTAAAAAGTACAAATTGATAGTTACAAAATAGTCACAGGGATGTAAAGTATAGCATAAGAAATATAGTCAATAATATTGTAATAATTATGTATGGTGTTAGATGGGCACTAGATTTATTGGATTGATCACTTTGTAAATTATATAAATGTCTAATTACCATGTTGTACACCTGAAATTAATATAATATTGTATGCCAACTGTAATTGACATCTGAATAATCATTTAAAAAACAAATGAAAAGCTGATCCAACTTTCCAATGTATTAGGGGTAATGACATTAATATAACCACTGTCAATACAATATACATATGATGTATTATTGAATTATATGCTTGAAATCTATATAATTTTATTAACCAATGTTATCCCAATAAATTTAATTTAAAACATTTTAAAAAGTATAATCAATTGTCTATAAGTCAGACTTTATGAAATAAGCAACTGGGAGCCTATCGATGTTCATGTGCATTCTAGTTTTACATCTCTTATCCACACAATTTAAGGTCTTTAATTATGATGCCTGCTGACAATACTAAAACGTGGTCAAAGAAGGTATTCAAAACAATGAGGCTAAGAAAATGGTACCTTAGCTAGCTTTATCTCTCAACCAGTCTGACTACTGTACTTTTCATATTCTGGAAATGACGAGCCAGACCCCAGGCTCTGCTTCAGCCCTGAAGGAGAAAGCTAGCATGCTCACTTTTTTCCTCTACAGCAAACACAATCTAGGGGCCAGAAACAGAGAGCCCTATGGACAATCAGAATGTGTAGTGCACTCTAGTGAAATGCTACCAAGAGTCCACAGAACACCCATGGATGAAGCTGCCCTGCTTGAGTTGGTTTACTTAGATGTCCCACCAGTTTGGGTACACCCTTCTTCTCAGTGAGTTCTGAGGGAGCTCAGTAGGCTAAGTAGTCTTTAAATGTGGAAGAGCTCCATGTTGAAAAAACCTTTGCATTTGAACATTCTGGGTAGCAGAGAAACCTCCTCCTGCTACACCACTGATACTCTCAGCCCTCTGAATTGTACTCTGAAGTTACTACTGGACCTGAGTGAAACAGCATCCAGAAGAAGAAAACAAAACAAACAAAATACACACAACAGTGTTCTTAGGGCAAGCCCTTCTTCACTTCTCATCTGTCTGTAAAGACAGATGAGAAGTTGGGACAGAGGAGCAGGAGAAACAAAATTCAGGCGCACGCACACACACGTACTTTCTTGAACCAAAATACATGATTTGTAAAACTGAAAAATTAAGTGGATGAACTGAAGTAGAACATGGTCTTCATTGAGATCTGAGTTAGAGGCAATGACAAAGTAGATAAAATAGCTCAAATAGAGCAAAAATATTTTTTAACTCATAAGGAAATAAATATGGGTGTCATAGAAGATAGATGAAGTGGATGTAACATGTAAATAATAGGTGTTTCAAGAAGAGAAAATAAAACACATGAAGAGAGGCCATAATTAAATATATTTTCTTAACTCGAAAAAAATTTGAGCTGGCTGATTAAAAGGGTCCACTGAATTCCAAAAAAAAAAAAAAAAAAAGCAGATGTGAAATCATGATTTATAAAAAATGTGTATTTGGCCACTCATATGACCAAAGTATATTTCTCATATACTTTTCATCTACAGTTTCTGGCTCACAGCTCCCAAACCCTTGAATTTCCCAAGTGATAAGAGCAATAGGAGCATCTTTTGTTAAATTTAGTCTCTTCTTCAGTTCCTGAAATTGCTTCAGAGACATGAAGTTAAAATGGGTGTCTTGTTATTCATAACAAACTCCTTTCTACCACATTGGGTTTTATGTTTATGGGGTGACTTTTGGAAAGCACCTAAAGATGAGGGCCAGTTGCCAGAAGAACAAACCATGCCTAGTAGAATGGAACTTTCAGTTCCACCTCATGATATTTGGGCAGAGGAAAGGGGTTAGAGGTTGAATCAATTATGCCTGTGTAATAGAGCCTCCATAGAAACCTTAGAGGAGGGTGTTCAGAGAGTTACAAGGTTGGGGAACCAGAACACTTCAATGTGCCATTGTGCTGAGCTCCAAACTCCATGAGGACAGATGCTCCTTTGTTCAGGACCTTACCCTATGTATCTCTTCATATGGCTACTGATTTGTATCCTTTAATATACATTCTTTGTAATAAATTGGTAATATAGTGAGTAAATAGGTTTTCTGAGTTCTGTGAGTCACTATAGCAAATTAATTGAACCCAAGGAGCGAGGCTGTGGAAACATCTAATTTATAGCCAGTCATTTAAAAGTACAAGTAATAATCTGGTCTTGCTATTGGCATCTGAAGTAGGGGGCAGTCATGTGAGACTGAGCCTTTAACCTATGAGATCAAGATACCATCTCCAGGTAGATAGTGTTTGAATTTAGTTGAATTATAGGACATCCAGCTGGTTCCCAAGAATTGCTTGTTGGTGTGCTCCCTCTAACAGAGTGGAATTGGGTGCAGAACCCTTTCAAACAAGTCTGAAAAAAAAAGACATGCTATTAAGCATAATCTGATAAAATTCCTGAAGATCAGGATGATGAAAAATTATAGTCTTTCCAGATAAAAATAAGAACCACTTAAAAAGAAAAAGAAATCAAATTGATCAGATACCTTATCTGCAACTCTGGGAGCTAGAGGAGGACATGAGGATGTAGACTGCTTGTGAAAAGGCTGCAATGTGAGCTCGCCCACCCATGAGACATTGTTTATCTGTTAGGATTAAAGATTCAAAGAAAAGAGTTACCCGCATCCTTCAGCTGTGGAAAATAAATAAACAAAAACTCTAAACAGCCAATGAATCAAAGAAGACATCTCCAGGTTCAAGATGAGATGAAACAAGAGTAGTAAGCAATGAATCAATAGCGAGCAATGAATCTTAAAATACATAGGGTCTAATGGATAATAATTAAAAATGCTTGTGAGACCTAAGTGCTAAATAAATATTCTTTAAATAAAGAGACATAATACAAAAAAAATACTAATGAGAATTCAAGACAAAAGTTTCAAAACTATCTCAGCAAAATCTAGAATTAGATAAAAGGTAAATGTGTTTGGAATGAAATTATTCTAAAGGTGTCAACTATTGGTGAAACGCAACAGGGACAGACTGGCATGGTGGGGGACATAGCTTTTATCTTGCTTTTGTAAAATATTTTTTTAAATGTATTTGTTTATGAGTTTGGGGGAAGGAAAGATAGCTCTTAATAGATTGGGAAAGTACAGTAGTAGAGTTCTAAAATTAACAAAGGAGAATAAAGAGAAAAAAATGACATCCTGAAAAGAAATTACCTACTTATATATATGAAAAAAAGAAAGTAAATAAATAGTAAATACGAAGTAAAATAAAAAGTAAAATTAAGGGCAAAAAATAAGTATCAGTCATAATGAATATGAACAGGGTGAATTCCCCTATTAAAATACAAAGATTATCACATGGGAAATTAAATAATTGATATAAATATTAGAAAAGTAGCAACAAAATTAACTAACTTTATTGCAGATAAGATTATGCAACTTGAAAACAAAAATAAAACAGTAAAACCCAACTGGAACTAAGATAATTTGGTTACATAAATTGATTTTAAGTTAATGTAAAGAAGTGCATAGTTTTTCTTTATTCTGTACTGGAAATTTTCAACTAGAAATAAAAATAGAGAAAATATTACATTCACAGCAACACAATTATAAAATACTTAGGTTAGTAAGAAAAAGGACTTATGTGAAGTGAGTCATAAATTCTTATGAAGACCATAAAATCTGAATAAATGGAAAAATATACTGTGTTTTAGGACAAAAAGATTTATTATCATCAAGATGTAAAAGCTTCAAAATTTATATGTAAACTCAAAGTAATTCCAATTAAAATCCCAACTTTGTGCTTATGTGTTTTTGGTGAAGAAAGGCTTGTAATTATATCAAATATCTTAAAGATCATGATCTAAATAGAATAATTAAGAGACTATTACTGAAAAATAATCTTCCTATTCATTATTAAAATTATTCTAAAGTCATAATCAAAATAGTATGCTACTGACCTAGAAGGACATAGATGAACTTCAGAGACTTTTAAAAAATTAATGTGAGAAAGAATCAGAGCTTAGCATAAAACTACACTGTGTATTATTACCATCTTGTGTATATGTATCTCCTTACAAAAAAAAACTGATAAAAGCTACAGGTGCAGACATAAAAAAATGGGTAAAAGTAGCTTGTCATTCTCTTAAGTAGTCATCAGTTTTGTCCTTTAAATAATTACTGAGAATATTATGTCCTAAAAATACTGAATACTAGTCATTCAAATTACATTTTGGTAAACTTTATGCTTCACACATAACATTTTATGGCTATAAATAAATGAACAAACTCAATTTTCTCCACCACAATAATCACCAAATATGTTCTTAAGGGGCATATGATTTTGTGCTACTTACTACTTCCAAAATACCTGAGTTTCTGTATTTCATTTGGAATAAAAGCAATACTATTGTAGGAAATATCGAGTTCCTCAAGATGAAGCAAGGAAAATAACCTTAGAGAAAATAAATTGTAAAAATGATTATTTGTCATTAATACGCATATATAAGAATTAAATACTTGAGTAAATAGGTAGAAGTATAAAGAAATTAATATTTTTCTAAGATCCTGAAGTTTATATAGACTTAAATTATAAATGATATAATTATAATAAAATTTCATAAAAATTATTCATCTATCTATTGAAATATTTGGATTGAAATGTTTGGAAAGCCCCTAATACAAAAAAGTATGTATTTAGTTTAAGTTCTAACACTATGATTTCAAACTTTAAATGTTCATCTAGAAAAAGTCACCTGAGAAATTCCTAACGAAATTTAGATATATTTTTTTTCTTGATTGCTGTATTAGTTTTCTAGGGCTGAAATAACAAAATTACCACCATGTGGGTACAGTTCAGGAGGCCAGAAGTCTGAAATCAAATTGTCGAAAGAGTTGGTTCCTTCTGAAGTCTCTGAAGAAGAAACTGTCCCTTGCTTGTTTCCTAGCCTCTGGTGATTGCCAGCAATCATTGGTGTTCCTTCGTTTGTGGCAACATAACTCCAATCTCTGCCTTTGTGTATTTTCTTCTTATAAGGACACCGTTTATTTGATTTTTGAGCCTGCCCTAATCCAGTAACCTCATATTTATTAACTTAGCTAATTACATCTGCAAAGACCCTATTTCCAAATAAGGTCACATTCTGAAGTTCTGCGTGGAATGAATTTTTGTGGCACACTACTATTCAACCCAGTGCAGTTGCATTAAGATTTTCTTAGTGAAATATCTTTCGTCTTCCTTTCCATTATGCTAAGTAGGTACTTAAAAGTAAGAACCAAAGAACATTAAGACTGCAACACAGAGAGCCTTGTGTCCTGGGGTTTAGGAATGGGAGTTGCTTCTTGAAGTCTGGAATTGAAGGGCTAAGTAACAACATTCATCAAAATCCTTAGTAAATATTCCCACTTTGTGTATGGTATTCTCAAATTCCTTCCTGCTTTCCATATACAAATAATATAAAAAATTACTTGCATGAATATTAACTAAAGTATCATGAACACAATATTTCATTAACTTCCTACTTACTATCTTAGTGCGGCATATAATGGCCTTTATGATCTGGCCGCAGACTACTTGTCCAGCTCGCCTATCTCACTCCATAATATTCACCTATAGATCAGCCTTTATTTGATAAGTTCTCTAAATTAGCCAGTGCTCACATATTTCAAAATACTGAGTGCAATTCCCCCAAACCTGGCTCTTCAACCAATGTCTTTATTTTTTAAGTCTTGGCTCAGATATCATCTTTTCTAAGAAACTGCTCCCAAATCTTCAGACTGAGTGAGAAGCCTATCCTGTAATTCTCTCTTTACCTCAATCACAGAACTTACCACAATGTGTAATAAATGTCTGTCTTATGAACTAGGAGGTTCTGGAAGCCAAGCATTCAATTTTACATTTTTATATATCCAGTGCCTTGCACAGTGCCTAGTATATCATAAGTAAATTACAATTGAATAAAAAGAATGGTTATCCCACTTAATTTAAAATTATTTGCTCTAAGAAATTAAAGAGATTGAATAGAAATCAAAAGAAATGCCTTTTTAATTTAGTGTTCATCTCAGACTTTTTATCACCTCTGTAAAGAAAATGTTAATATCACCTGTTTTATTTTTCAATTAAAAATTACGTTATTTTATTTTTTGCCTCAGGTAATTTTAGGACCATTTCATCTTCCCCTATTACTTCAGTACTGGCAAACTAGTCTGGTTCTATGCTTTCACCATTGATGATATATCCCTGTTGACTATGATGCTTAATAGGGCTTATAGGCAGCATAGTTTTAGAAAAACTTTAAAAAGGCGCCAAAATAATATATCTTGGAAGAAATGTATATTTTTAAAAAATATGAAAACCATAAGAAAAATCTAGACTAACAATGAGAAAAAAAGAGAAGGTACAGTCTTTTAAATACAATGCTTAGTCAATAAACAATTTTTTTCTAAATTCCATAAATCTAGAAAAAGTATGTATTTAGTTTAAGTTCTAACACTATGATTTCAAACAAATTAGGTAATCAATTATTTTATTTAAAAAATGCTGCTAGTCTTTCCATCTGGCCACAGCCATCAGGTAAGCCAAGATGGGCGCTTACAAGTACATCCAAGGAGCTATCCAAGAAGCAGTCTGATGCAATGTACTTTCTTCTCAGGGTGTGCTGCTGGCAGCACTGCCAGCTTTCTGAGCTCCACACTCCCTCAACCCACTCCCCTGCCCCACCTTGCCTGATAAAGCACACAGGCTGGGATACGAGGCCAAGCAAGATTATGCCATATATCAGATTCGTGTGCACTGTGGTGGCCACAAACACCCACTTCCTAAGGGTGCAACCTACTGCAAGCCTGCCCATCATGGTGTTAAACAGATAAAGTTTGCTGGGAGCATTCAGTCTGTTGCCGAGGAGAGAGCTAGATGCCACTGTAGGGCTCTGAGAGTTCTGAATTCTTACTAGGTTGGTGAAGTTTCCACATACAAATTCTTTGAGGTTATCCTCTTTGATCCATTCCATAAAGCTAGCAGATGGAATCCTGACACCCAATGGATCACCACACCAGTCCACAAGCACAGGGAGATGTGAAAGGCTGACGTCTGCAGGCCACAGGAGCCATGGCTTCGGAAAGGCCACAAGTTCCACCATACTATTGGTGGTTCTGGCCCTGCAGCTTGGAGAAGGTGCAATATACTCTCTAGCTATACCATTACTGCTGTTTGTAAAATTCTTATAAACAATTTAGGACAGAAAAAACTACTGCAAATTTTCTTTGAACTGCTAAATTTATACTGTTACCCCTCTTTTTTCAAATGTCCCCTTTTCAATAAGGCGAATCCTAACTACCCCTTTAAAATTATACACTCACTCCCCTTTTCTATTTTTTCTTTTTATATTACTGATTACATTCTAACATACCATATGATTTACTTATATATATTATTTATTGACTGTCTCCCTTAATGTGAATATAATCCTCAGAACAGTAGAAATCTTTGACTAAGGTTTTATATTAGTTTTCTATTGTAGTCATAACAAATAGTAGCTTAAAATGATACATTTATGATCTTAAAGTTCTGTGGGTCAGAAGTCTGGCATGAGACTCACCACATTAAAATTAAAGCATCAGCAAGGCTGCATTCCTATCTGGAGACTCTAAGGAGAATCTCTTTCTTTGCTTATTCAGGTGTTTAGCAGAATTCAGTATCTCCGGCTGTAGGACTGATGTACCTGTTTTCTTGCTGGCTGTAAACTGAAGGCTGTTCCTACATTCTCAAACTGCCACATTTCCTGACTAATGGTTTCCTTCCTCTCTTTTCAAAACCAGCAAGTCTTGTCCTTATGTTGCATCTCTCTGATTCGTGCTTCTGCTTCTGTCTTCCATTTTTAAGAGCTCATCTGGTTAGATTGGACTTACCCAGATCATCTAGCATAATCTCTCTACTTTAAGGCCAGCTTACTAGAAAACTTAATTTCCTCTCCAACTTTAATTACTTTTGTTATGTAATTAACATATTCACATATTCTAGAGATTAGGATGTGGATGCCTTTTGAGACCATTATTCTATCACAGTCTCCCCCGTCCCCTAACAATTCATATCTATCCCACATGCAAAATACATTCACCCATCCCAAGTTCCCCAAAGGTCCCATTCATCTAAATTTCAAAAGTTCCAAATTTTGTCATCTAAATCAGGTCTTGGTAATGCTCTAGATATAATTCATTCACCGGTACAATTTTTCTCCATTTGTGGGCCTATAAAACTAAAGAAACAAGTAATCTGCTCCCAAAATACAATGGTGTGATAGGCATAGGGTAACCATTATAGATTTTGGTTCAAAAGGAAATGGAAGGTAAAAAGTTACCAATCCTGAGCAATTTAAAATCTAGCTGTATAAACTCAGGTTGCAAGGCCTGTGAATAATTATCTGCAGCTCACAACTCTGCCCTCTGGTTTCAAGAGTCTGCCCTCCTAGCTCTTGGCCCTGCCTTCTGGGGTCATAGTTCCACTTTCTGAACTATTGGCTCCACTTCCTGGGTTTCTGACTTCACCTGCTGAGTCAACCTTCCTTTTTCATGAAAATTAGCACACATTTGGATCTGAGTAGTTTTATCAGTCTGCTTCATGCCTGTAGAATTTTGGGAACCTGACAGTCTTTTTTCATTTCCTACTCTCTTTATCTCTTTTGATCAAAGCAGCAGTCTTTCTGCTAGTATAAAATTTTTAAGAACCTTGTGGGTCTTCCATGTATGTCATGGGAATTCATTTCATGAGACACAAAGCTTGTCTTAGATAATCTCAGCTCTATTTTTTGCTTTTGCTGAAATGGGCTAGGCTGTGGGATACTAGTCATCATTAAAAAAGAAATGGATACATATAACGACATAAATAAATCTCAAAACCATTATGTTGAGTAAATGATGCCAGACATACACACACTATTTGTTGTATGAATAAATTTATATGATTTTCGAGAACAGCCAAAACAAATCTATCATGTTAGATCTGGAGACTGACTGAAAATGTTCATGAGAGAACTCTGTGGAAATGCTTAATACCTTGTTTTGGATGATGGTTATATGGGTGTATACATTTGTTAAACTCTTTGAATCAAATACCTGAGATTCATACATTTTATTGTATATAAGTTATACCCCCCAATTTCTTTTTTTTTTAGAAAGAAGAAAAATAAGAGGAAAGAGGAGAATATCCAGGGTGCTAATAACTATTTTTTAAATTGTGGTAAAATAGCATAAGATCTGCTATTTTAATCATTTCTAAGTGTACCATTTAGTAGCATTACTTACAATCTCAATATTGTGAACCATCGCCATTACCCATTTTTAGAACTTTTCCATAACTCCAAACAGAAATTCTATACCCATTAAATAATAACTCCCCAGTCTCTTCTCTCTCCTCTACCCAACCCCTAGTAACCTTTATTCTACTTTCTGTCTCTATAAATTTGCCTATTCTAGGTAAATTTGCCTATTCTAATTCCATATAAATGAAATTATACAAAATTTTCCTTTTGTGTCTGACTTATTCTATTTAACTTGTTTTCAAGGACCATCTTTGTTGTAGTATGTACTAGAATTTAATTCTTCATTAAAGATAAAGAATAAACTATTATATGCATGTGTCACATTTTGTTTATCCATTAATCTGTTAATGTACAGTTAGATTATTACTATCTTTTGGTTACTGTGAGAAAAACAACTAGTTTTTCCATTTTTCTATTGATGAACATATGAGTTGTTTAATGTTTCAGGCTATTGTGAATAAATCTGCTATGGACATCCTCATAGAAGTCTTTTTATTGAGGATAAAAATCTACCTTCTCCTTCTTATACCTGAATGACCAAGAGCTACTGAAGAAAATCACATATTAATGTAGATTAGCGTCACTACAAATTCATGGTTTCCAGTCTCAACTAAGCTTACATCGTTGTCTACCAATCTTTTATTTTTTGTGTGTACGTTCATTCTCTCTGCAGTCCTCTTTAAAGGTGGCTTTAAAGCTTCTTTTCGTCGTCACTCTTCTTGCTCTCAAAGTTATCTTAATTTAATATATTTCAAAGTAATCTTCCTCAACTGATACATAATAGGAGCTAAGTAAATCTGTCAATTGAATAAATTTCCTATTTTCTTACCCATATAACTGCATATTTTATACTCTTTCTTTTTTCTAACTTTTATTTTTTATTTTTTAAAATTTTAAAATAAATTTTTATTTTTCAATTAGTTAATTCACAATAGTATATTAGTTTCAGGTGTGCTACATAGTGATTATATACTTATATAACTTACAAAGTGATAACCCCAATAAATCTAGCATCTATCTGACACCATACATAGTTATTATGATATTATTGACTATATTCCTTGTACTATACTTTACACCCTCATGATTATTTTGTAACTACCAATTTGTACTTCCCATCCCTTTTTTAGTTTTTATTTATTTTTTTTTAAATTAGGTTTATTGGGGTAACATTGGTTAATACAATTATATTTTCAGATGTAAATTATCATTTGACATCTGTACATTCTGTTGTGTGTTCACCACCCAAAGTCCCATCCCTTTTTTAAACAATACACTCAACCCCACTTCCATCTGGCAATCATCAACATGTTCTCTGTATCTGAGTTTGTTTCTGTTTCATTTGTTCATTAATTTTGTTCTTTAGATTCCACATGTAACTGAAATCATACGGTATTTGTCTTTGTCTGACTTATTTTACTCAGCACAATACCTTCTAGGTCCATCCATGTTGTTACAGATGGCAAGATTTTATTCTTTTTCTTTATGGCTGAGTAATATTCCATTGTATATATGTACCACCTCTTCCTTATCCATTCATCCATTGATGGACACCCAGAATGCCTCCATGTTTTAGCTTTTGAAGCCAAAAGTCTAGATTTCAGTGTCCTTTCCATATTCAAAGACTGTCAAGGGATAGCTTCAGTTTCTTACCTGAGCTTCTTTATAATATTTGTGTTTATTTAATACATACTCAGATAATAAATTCTAGAGGTGTAGTTTATTAATTGCCATTATTAATTACCACTTATGTAACTGTTAGGGTTATTTTTAACCAAATAATAAAAAACAAGTCAGCTAATTGGAACAGATTAAGAATTATTAAATAGATAAAAAGTTGCTAGCTGCTTTCAAAAGGGTAACTGATCTTTTTCTAAATCCTAAGTTCTTTATTTTATGTTTATAATCTCAAACTATTAACCTTACCCAGGTGGAAGAGTCGTAATCAAATTAAAGGCAATGTTGAAAACTCTAAGGAATTTAAGTTGTTGAATTTCAGAAGGGATTACTTTGATAGGATTATTTCTCAGGATTAATATTTGTAAATGTTTAAGACAAAATATCTGAGGAATAGAAAGAAAAACAAACATGAGTAGAATAATAAAGTATGCAAATCTCTGTAATTTTTATAGAGCTTTTGGATTAATGAAGAATTAGTGTAGTAGCATTAATTGTATATTAATCATTAGTAGCATTAATCATATATGTCAATAAACACTGTTGAAAAACCTTCAAAATAACTGATTGGCATTAATATGCATGGTATGGTAAAATAGTACAACTACTGTATTTATATCCCCTTGACTCAAGAATGGTCCTTTTCTAAATAAGAAAGTCATCTTGTTTGATCAACCCCTGGCTTCATAAGAGGCAATTATGCAAAGAATGAGGGAGAAAAGAGCTAGCTGCAGAACCAGTAAAATAAATGGAATTAAACTTAGTAAGTCAATTGGGTGTCAGATATCATAGCCAGATTCTTTCACTCTCATATCATTATAATTTCATATATGCTGATTTTTCATATGAAATTTAAAAATAGAATATACCATTTAAATCTATGATTCTCATGAGTGACATCAGAAACATGGCAGAGTGAGAGATGTCCTCAGATTGCTCCCCTTGAAACAACAATAAGCTGAACATCTAAAACTCAACAAAAAACACCCAAACTGTACACCAGCACATCTGAGCCTGGGATCTGTGCATAAGAGCTACCACAGGTCAGAACCTCGGGTGTCAGGAGGTGAACTGGGAGAAACAAAGAAGCTGCCTCTTGCAGCTTCCAGAGTTTCCTGTAGGAGAAGGGCAAGTGGAGAAGGTGTAGTGACTTCCCTCAACAATCCTGCCTGGGAGAGCTGTGAGCTCCACGTGGCTGGCAGCAGTGCCCAGTCATCAGGGCAGAAGGCAGAGAAACAGGGATGGCAGAAAAATGGGGAGGCAGAGAAACAACAGTTGATTTTTACCAGCCATGGTTGCAAAACTGAGGCTGAGCCACAGCCCCCATCCCCCCACCCAGAGGGTCCCTCCAACCATGCTCTCCACAGAACGCTGTGAAGCCCCAGAGAAATCTGAGCAAATGCTACAGAAACTGTCACTAATACTGACAGGAACTGAGACTGAGGCTAGCAAGCGAGATTAAACATCTTTAAAGAAAAAAAAAAACATATTAAGACATTATACAAAACAGAGACCCAAGATGCATAGATGCCACATACAGGAAACCAAAATAAAACCACCTTCTTTGCAACAGGCTAAAGAGAGACCTTTAAAAAATAAATCTTCTTTCTAGGAAAAAAAAAAAAAGCAGACTACACTTCCATTAATGCCCAAGTGGAGAAATAGTCCATTAAACACCATGAACAACCAAGGTGACAAGCCACCTCAGAAAGAAAAAAACCTCCAGAAAATAAATAAGCTTACAGACATAGAAATATGCTACTTAAATGACAGAGAATTCAGGATGGTACCTCTGAAAATACTCAATGAGATCTGAAACAAATCATATCAATTTCAAAAATTAAAAAAAAATGCTAGATGAGCAGAATGAGTTATTTAGCAATGAGATTGATTCTCAAAAAGAAACAAATAGAACTTCTGGATGTAAAAAGCACACTGCAAGAGTTAAACAATGAAATAGCAAGCTTGGGAAATGAAGTTGATCAAATGGAGGAAAGGATCACTGATATCGAAGACAGAAATCTAGAAATAAATCAGAAGGAAGAAGAGAAAAACCGAAGAATAAAAATAATGAAAGAGAAATTCAAGAACTAGCTGATATCATCAGGAGAGGGAACATAATAACGAGTATTATCAAAGGTGAAGAAAAGGAGCAGGGATTAGAAAGCATTTTCAGACAAATAGTTGACGACGATTTCCCAAATCTAAGGAATGAGCTGGAGCTTGGAATTCAAGAAATCAACAGAACACCCAATTATCTCAACCCAAAAAGGCTTTCACCAAGACACGTTGTATTAAAGTTATCAAAAATCAACAACAATGACAGAATTCTCAGGGCAGCTAGAGAAAAGAAGATGGCAACCTATAAAGGAAAACCCATTAGATTATCGTAGGACTTCTCAGTAGAAACCAACAAGCCTGTTCAACAGTTGAATTCATGAAAGGAATTAACAGCCAAGAATAATGTATCCAGCTAAGCTCTCTTTTACATATGAAGGAGAAATAAAGACCTTTCCAGACATACAAAAATTTAGGGAATTCTCCGCTATGAGGCCTGCACTACAGAAAATATGGAAAGGGGTCAGCTAACCTAAAACAAAATGACAAAAAGAAAATACATAAGTAGAAGTAAGGTGGCCAGCAGATTGAAAGAAGCTGAGGAGTTCAACCATTACAAGAAACAAGGCATTATAAGCTTAAAAATAAGAAGAGATTTTCTAGCAAGATAGTAATGAATGATCAGCATACATAGGGACAAACTGACGCAAAAATGACTGAAAAGGAGAAGATTCAAAGATCCAAATTCGCAAAAGGAAATGTAGATAAGGCACGCACAGAAAAAAATGGATGACTGTATGTATATAACTATCCTTTACACATTCATAATGGTAACCACATGCCAAAGATCCAGAACCAAAGTACATAACATAAAATAAAAAGGGCCAGAGGGAAATTCACAAAACCCAACAACAGCAATAAGAAAAGCAGACACTCAAGGACAAGGAAGCAATGGAAACACCGAGCTACCAGAAAGCAAAAGATAAAATGGCTATAAGAAGACCTCATATTTCAATAATCACCCTAAATGTAAATGGATTGAACTCACCAATAAAAAGGCACAGAATAGCAATAGGATCAAAAAACAAACCCAACCATATGCTCCAAAGACAAATATAGACTCGAAGTGAAGGAGTGGAAAATGATATGTCAAGCAAATGGCATTCAGAGAAAATTGGGAGTACCGATACTACCATCAGATGAACTAGACTTCAAAATAAAAAAGGTAAAGAAAGATACAGAGGGAATGATAAAGGGAATCATGCACCAAGAAGACATAACACTAATATCTATACTCCCAATCAGGGAACCCCAAAACATGTAAAGAAATTACTAATAGAACTAAAGGGAGAAACAGATAAAAACACTATCATAGTAGGTAACCTATATACCCCATTGTCAGATATGGACAGATCATCCAACAGAAAATCAATAAGGAAATAACATCCTTAAATGACATATTAGGCCTGGACATAATTGACAATTACAGAGCCTTCCATCCCAAAACAGCTGCTTATACATTCTTCTCTAGTGCATATGGAACACTCTCAAGGATTGACCACATACTGGGACACAGAGATAGCCTCAATGAATATAAAAGGGTTGAAATCATACCAACTATATTCTTTGATCATAATGTTTTGCAACTAGAGATCAACTACAAAAAGAAAGCTGGAAGAACCATAAATACATGGAGATTAAACGACATGCTACTGAAGAATAGCTGGATCAGAGAAGAAATAAAAAGAGATCAAGAGATACACTGAAACGAATGATAAAGATAATACAACATATCAAAACTTTTGGGACACAACAAAAGCGGTAATAAGGAAAGTTCATATTATTACAGGCCTAGCTCCAAAAACAAGAACAAGCCCAAATAAACAACCTAATGCTTCATCTTAAAAAACCAGAAAAGGAAGAACAAATAAAACCTAAAGTCAGCAAAAAGAAAGAATCAAAATTAGAGTAGAAATAAATAAAACTGAAAACAAAAAAAAAAATACAATAGAGGAAATAAATGCAACAAAGAGCTGGTTCTTTGAGAAGGTTAATAAAATTGACAAAACTCTGGCTAGATTCACTAAAGAAAAAAAGAGAAAGGGCACAAATAAAATCAGGGTTGAAAGATGGGAAATTATGACTGACATTGCAGAAATACAAAGGATCATACGAGTATACTATGAAAAAGTATGTAACACCAAATTTAATTACCTAGAAGAAATGGACTTAGAAAAATACAATCTTCCTAGACTGAATCAAGAAGAACTGGACAATCTAATTAGACCGATCAGCAGTATGGAAATTGAAACAATCATCAAAAACCTACCAAAAAGTAAAAAGTCCAGGACCAGATGGCTTCAACAGTGAATTCTACCAAATATTACTCTGATACCAAAACTTGGTAAAGTTAACACAAAAAAAGAAAACTACAGACCGATATCTCTTATGAACACACATGCAAAAATCCTAAGTAAGATACTACCGAACCAAATACAACAACATATTAAAAAGATTATATACCAAGATCACGTAGGCAGGGGCACAGGGATGGTTCAACATACGTAAATCAATTAATGTGCTACATCACATAAACAAATTAAAAAATAAGAATCATATGATCATATCAATAGACGTAGAAAAAGCCTTCGACAAAATACAACATCCATTTATGATCAAAATACTTCACAAAATCGTACAGAAAGTACCTTTAACATAATAAAGGCCATATGTGACAAACTCTCAGCCAACATTAAACTAATGGTGAAAAACTAAAAACCTTCCCTCTTAGATCAGGAACAAGGCAAGGCTTATTCTCTATACAGAAAACCCTAAAGACTGCACAAGAACACTACTAGAAACAACAAGAAAATACAGCAAAGTCTCTGGATACAAAATCTACGTTCAAAATCCATAACGTTCCTATACTCTAATAATGAAATGTCAGGAAAAGAAGTGGAAAAAATCATCCGTTTGCAATTGCAATGAAAGAATAAAATACCTAGAAATAAATCTAATGAAACAAGTGAAGGACTTATATAATGAAAAATATTAGACTCTATTAAAAGAAATTGAAGAAGATAAAAAGAAATGGAAAGATATTCCGTGTTCTTAGATTGAAAGAATCAACATAGCTAAAATGACCTTATTACCTAAAGAGTTATAAAGATTTAAACAATCCCCATCAAAATCTGATTAGCATTTTTTAAAGAAATGGAACAAAAAATTATCAGATTTGTATGGAAGCACAAAAGACTCCAAATTGCCAAAGCCACCCTGAGAAAAAGGAATGAAGCTGGAGGCATCACTGCTCAACTTCAAATTATAC